CCCCCAATCTACCCACCCCCCTTTCCCAGAGCCACCACCCCTTGCTCAGAGCCCTGGCCCGTTCTGCCGGGAAGAGCTTGGCACAGCCCCAGCCCTACCCCACCCTGCCCCACATAGATCCGGAAGCACACTCTCCCCCACTCCCATGCCCTCCCGAACGAGCAGAGGGAACAGTGGCAGGGGCTGCTGGACAAGCGGGCGAGCACCAGACAAGCTGCCCCTGGATGTGTGGTGCACAGAGGCAGGAGCCACCCCCACTCCCCAGATGAGCCCCGGCTCTGTCCCACGCCTGTCCTGCCCCATTAGGCCAGCGCTTGTCCCAGCCCCTGCCCCAGCCCCAATCCTCCCTTACCGTGGAAGCCTTGATCTGCCCCCACCCCATGCCCCTTCACCCTCCACCACACCACTTACCAGCTGCACACAGCTCTCCTGCTGCTGGGCTGTGCTCCTCACTGCCTACGTGCTGCGCGCATGCCTGCATGCACGGGCCATTTATCAGCCAAATTATTGGCCATATCAGGCCAATTTCTGATACAGACAGAATTTTTTTATATCAGTGCTGATCCAATATCAGACCAATGTATCGGTGCACCTCTATCCATCTACCAATGACAACTGTCTAACGGGCTCAAAAAAAAGTGAGGAACACACTCAGATAAACATCATACAAGAAAGTGAATGGATCCGGAATCCATTCATGTCAACAGAATTATTGTAATTGACCGGAACAGGGCTAACCTAACACAAAGTAGGGCTGGGGACAGTCAGAGGGACAAGGAAATACAAGACTATTTTAGCCATTTCCTTTTCTCCCTTCCTACCTTTTTCTTCGTCTCTTATTACAACTTTCTCCCTCTCCCCTCCAATATGAATAACTTAAATCTGTGTTTTTCCTACATGCATCTCAATGTAGAGGGAAGGTTCATGCATTTCAGTGATGTTCAGAATTATGTCAGTAGGAGTTTTAAATTGTGGTAGGGTCCCCAAGCAGAAGAGGCCAAAGGGGAGACTAGATGACAAGCTGCCTGCTGGCCCTCAGTTGCGAGCTGAGCAAAAAGTACATCCAGTTGAATGGAGCAAAGCAGCCATTCTGGCATACAGCATGATTGATAGAGATGCTGAAGACTTATTTGTGCCTGATGGCATGGGAAGGATTAAGATTCCCAATGTGTTTATTAAACTGTCCTTTAGCTTTGAATGACACATGCACACACACACACACACACACACACACACACACACACACACATTCAGTGTTAAGAAAACAAAAAACAAGAATTGCAAAGTGTACAGTTACACTAAAAATGTGTAAATAAAATTGAATACTATACCTGTGCACCCGAGTCTTGAAATTCTTTGCAAGCTTCTGGGAATACATCATATGCAATAACAGGATATCCTTGTTTTACCAGGTTTTTTGCCATTGGATTTCCCATGTTACCCAGCCCAATGAATCCAACAGGGGTTTTGGAGGCCATTGCCCTAGAACACACTGATTTCAACACAATTTCAATATATGAATATCTTGGAGAAATGCACCACAAACATAGAAAAACAACAATATAGTTTTAAGTGTTATAATTTACATAATAAACTATCACCACATTTTCTGAGATTTACTTGTGGGCATGTAGTGACATGCACCTAGCTTTTGGGAAGGCAGAATGATGGTGGCGGGGAGAGATTTTGCCAGACTGCACAGTGCAGGAACAGAGCCTAATCTTCAACTCACTCACGCTCCCCTTCCTAATCAGGCAAAAGCTATAGTTTTAACCTTTTCACAGCTGAACTGTCAAAGCTGAAACTAGCTGCTGCTGAAGACTGGAAAACATAGGAGGATCTAGGATTTTTAAGAGCTAAAAAAACAGACGTAGGACTATGAAATAGGAGAAAGATCAGGAGTAGCCAACAGACAGCAATAGTGCTGAACAAAGGATGGCTTATTAATGGAGCATCAAGATTATTAAAGAGGAAATGGGATCATTAACACCTGCAGAATGAAGAGCAATTAGCAGGAATTAGGAAGGTTATAATGAGGCATTAAATCAGTTGACTCCATCAGCACTGCAGGGATAGAAACGCCTCTGCTGCTGCAGGCAAATCATTTTAAAAACTTTGAATGACATGGAAATCAGATCCCCCCAGACCTGCCCCAGCTGCACCCTTCCTTCACTTCCATGCAACTACTGGAGAGAAGAGAAGGAAAAGGCGTAACAGCCATCTTATAGCATCTCCATGCTTCTATTCTGTATTCAGCACTATTTTAATTATTGTGGCCAGAAAGAAGTCAGCATTCTGGTTAAAACAGGCACCCCAATTTGGGAAGGCTAATTTTTTGACAAAAGGTACGTTTGGCATGCAAGTAAACATTGTATTTATCAAGAGCATCACAGTGATCATACCAAGAAACTGTACTGAATTTAGAAAGCCAGGGACAGTTTGGGAAAAAAAAAAAGAATTTGTAAGTGAAATAATACCCAGTTAAACCAGCACCTTGAGCCTATGGGAGAATCAGTCAGGAAATATATAAAAGCATAGGCAACATCTGTGCAAGTTTCTTTCCATTTTGTTACATGTCTCCTCTGCACAAAGCGACATGGACAAGAAGCAAGTTTAGATTCCTTGCATATTTCATTCTGTGGCTCCAGGCAGAGCCAGATGACTGTGGCTGTGGCTGTGGGATACAGCAACCAGCCTCTAGAATTCAAACTGACGGTACAGATTCATTTCATACAGGCCTAACCCCTACCAAGTAATAACTAGTCACAAATAACCCTGACCAGATTTAAAATCAATAATCTAAAGGTAAAAATTTTCATTACATTAAATGTCTCTTGGCATTGGTAATCCTTTTTATTGCTGCTTGAAAGTTGCCCTTAAGCATTATTTGAGCATTCATGTCACCAGAACAATGACTCACAATTACAAAATGATGCAGTCTTCAGAACAAAGCATACAGGAAAACATGACAGAACAGTACACCATGATGTTAGAAACTAATACAGTATTCTATGGTGATTTATGGTATATATGGGAGACAATGTAATTTTAGCATGTATTATTAGTCCTACCTACTTACCTACCAAGGACAAATAAAGAGAAACAGGCAATATATAATCCATAAAAATCCCCTTCCTCATCATTCTGACCTGAAATAATCTTACCTCTAGGCTAGGACAAATGCTATTTTTTGTTCTCACTACCAGTTACAGAAGACATTTCTTCTTTGAAAGCAAAAGAAGCTGATCAGGATAAAGGCAACCAAACAAACAGGGATGAAGATAAGAAAATTATAAATTAACCAGACTCTAGAGTAGATTTTAGAGTACTCCATGTTTAGGTTTTAAGAAATCTCAGTACTTGGAAAGAATCCCCAGTAGACGGTAACACTTGATTAATTATTTTAAAGTATTTCTGATTCTAAGATCCTTCTCAGCCAAAAGCGACACCAGATTGTAAATACCATGCTTACTAAAGTAGGTGTTTTGAGATGACTTCAGTTTAATCCCCAATTTCCATAGCTGCCTATACAAAGAAAAGCTGCACTGTAATTAAAAATAAAATGTACCCCAATAGGTATATCTCCTATTATAGTAAAGCAGCAAAATGCTATAAAAAGTGCTAACAGATAGACGGCTGCATTTTTCTTTTTTAAAATCTTGTCCTTCCTTGGCTTCCCATGAGTGCACCCTCCTCGCTCACCTCCTTCCTCAGCACCTCAGTATCGCCTTTCCAACTTTCCATGGGATTCCAGGAGACTCGGTTCTTGTTCCCATTCTCTTCACACCTATCTCTGAGTAGCCTCATCTGCAAACACAAATCTAACTACCATCATCTCTGTGCTGATAACTCATAAATCTATTCCAGCTTTGTCTTTGTTTATCCAAATTAAAATTCGGGCCCATCTCTGACATCTGCTAGTCATACTCATTAGCTCAAATTCAGCCCGATTAATACAGAAATCTTCCCATCACTCTGGTGTTCATATTCAGGCTATGTCTAATTCTTGCCAATTCTTTCTGTATAATATCAGATATGGCCTTTCCTATGAGGATACACTTGCACTGTGTTTCTATTACTGCAACAGACTTCTATCCTGCATTCCCAGGTGCAATTTTGCCTCATTTACATCTATTGCCGACGATCATTTTCCCCAATCTGTCTCTTTGGCCAGGTTGTCAGCCTTACCCTAGAAACTCTCTACTGCTTTCCCTTGCATTCTGCATTATATAAAAGCTACTTGTCTTCACATCTTCATCCCTCCTTTTAAGCTATTATCTCTTTTAGTTTTAATTTAGTTACAAAAACATATTAAATTCAACTCAATTATATAATAGCCTTGAAAAGCTGAAGCTTCTGTCTATGCATCACTGATTTGCTAGGTATATTAGGAAAGTCTGTGAACTTCTGACCTTGCTCTTGTAAAAAAGGCACTGAAATATTCACTATTTTACAGTATCCATTATCAAAACTCCTGTGAAACTGTAAAATATAGAATTTTTTTTAAAAGCAGATTATATTTACCACTTACTACTGGTATTTTAAACTACTTTAAATAAAGTAGCCTTGCAATCCTTCAACTCAAAGGCCCTGATTTCCTGCAACTGGGTCTGCCTAGTTGGACCCTCAAATTCAGTGCATAGATATGATTGTAGGATCAAAGTTCTAGTTAAGAAGTAAAAATCTTAAAGGAATGTCCTGGCAAGAGTTTCATCATGACAACAGAGAAGCTGGAATGATTTTAGTTGCTGGGCGTGAAGATGTCACAAAATAAGCCAAATTAGATCATGTTCCACCTAGGCACAATTTCATTATTACAATCAGTACTACTGCATCTGAGCTCACAACAGGAATTCTGGACCTGTAAAATATAAATGCACTTCAAAACAGACCCTAAACACAATTTTTATGTACAGTGATGATGCATAAGGGGTGCATGTGCACCCCCTGAGAGCATTGGTGCACCCCCTGACTGTTTGCACTCACCACTTAGGCAATGGGGGGGGCAGGTGGGAGTGCCGGTGCCCCCCTGCAAGTACTGGCCGATTGCTGCAGCCACTCCCAGAAGCAGCCGCAGCCACTCCGGGAAGCGGCTGCAGCAATCGGCCGTTGCAGGATTGGCCACGGAGGTACCCCCCAGGCAGCGAGATCGGCCATGGGGGACCCCCCCCCGTTGGCAGGACTTCTCGCTGGGGGAGAGGAGGGGGGCACATGCCCCCCCGACTAAGATGGCACCAGTTGCCCATGTCTATGTATTCATGACTGGATAAATCCAAGGTGTCTCAGCTGGCTCCATTACATTTTGGTAAGGCGAGTTTTGAGGTTCTACCTAAAATGGATACCTGGGATATTGCTACAAGGATACTTAAATTTCTTATGATTTCCAAACAGACCAATGCACTGCATTAAATGAGCACTTTAAAACATGGCAAGGCTTCAAACATGTTTTGATTCACTTTTTACCTGGAGACAGTCTATGCCAGCAACTTTCAACTATTTAAAAGCAGGTTCTCTTGTATATTTTGATAATTTAATTATTAAAATAATACACCTTGATTTGTTTAACAGCTAGTGTAGTATCCCAAGATAAGGGTAAAACACTACATTGCAATAATGTTGAATACATTCAATTCCTAATGCTTTCAAATGTGTTCTAATTAACAAATACCAGCAGAATGCTTTTTGTATTACTGCAGTAGCTAAGACCCCTTGGTGCTAGCTGCTGTACAAACAGAACAAAACAGAAAAACTTAAGACAAGAGGCTATAGATGGATACAGACAGGGAAACACAAAGATACAATGACACGATATTGATATTATTAGTTAGCTTGATATCAACGGTCTGAGGACTCAACTGTACTGAAGGTTAGGCAAGTCATTCTGGGGTATGTCCACAAAGGCACTGGGTTCCTGTACTATCAACAGTCACCCAAACATGTTTTAACTGGAAGGGTTGAATGCCTCAGAAATGTCCCCAAGGATGCCCTACTGGCCCAATTCTACTTGTACATGCTAAACCTAGACGCATGTCAATGAAGCTCTTCTAGGGGCACATCCAGGGCCATTATCAATCATACCAAATAAGGGGATGAACCCCAGGGCAGATTCACTAAAACATTTCCAGGTTTGTTATGGTATGGGTGTGCAAGGCATGCTCAAGAGCAACCCTGCCAGGGGATGAAAAATAGACACAATGTGTCATTCTTTTAAAGAAGCTGGATCAGGAGTTGCTTCAAAAATGCAAACACAAGTGGGGAAAAGGGGTGAAGCTAGGGCCATTTAAACATAAAAGACAAACAGTCTGTCACAGACCTGTGGGCAGAGTACCCTCACAGACCCAGTGCTCTTTCTACAAAGCTGCCCACTAGAATTTACACCATTGACTGAATGAACAGACCCCAGAATAATCATACAAAGCAAGTGATCTGGGCACAGTTTGCCAGTTGCATGTTGCAATTCAACAAGCCACTACGGAACTCTCTGCAAGTAGGGGAAGGAGGCCAACTAGTTGATAGAGTTGCCAGATCTCAGAAATTACTCCACCAGTTGTTCCACTAATAGGTATTTCAGTCAAATGACGGACATTACAAGCAGTTGCCTAAATCTGAGTTAGAATTAAAGGAAAAGATGCCAAGACTAATATTTATATAAAGAGAGAGAATGTGTATGTGTGACTTGTTTGTGCGCACATATAAACTATGTGCCTTTGCCAGAGAACATAAATTCTGTTGGGTGTCAACCCTACAAACACCTCTCAAAGTCACTGGGACGTCATATTAAGTACATGCATATGCATTTGTGAGATTAGTGCTTAATCAAGTAGGGTGAAATCCTGGTCTTATAAGAGAACAATGGAAAATTTTATCATTTACTTTAAGGGAATAAGGATTTTAACCTCTAGTCACTGACTCTCAGGTATTAAACAAATAGATTTGTCAGCCTTAAAACTTGAAGTATTAGAAAACCATATTTATTTGAATTTATTATAGTAATAATTTCAAGTGAACTGCCTTCTAGAACATCTTCTCCCCACATTCATTCACCACTTTCAAGCTGTCACGTTTAAAATAGTGAACAAAATAACACAGCTACTTCAACGTTGTTTTTTTTACAGAAATATTTGTGAACCATCTGTGACAGTGATACTTACTGCACATGATACTGTAGTATCAGAAAAGGTACTATATATACACACGTGTCATTTTTAAATTTAACTTCATTAGCTTATGAAAAAGCTTATGCTGTTCTGTATTCTACCTGAAAAACTAAACACTTCGTAAAAGTCACACTTAGTCCTTTAAAACATTTAACAGTTGCGTGTCAGTGGAAGAGAACAGGCTAGTTAAAAATACTGCTAAAAATTCATTTTAAAATGAAATGAAGGCATCAAGACACATTTGTTTTCATTGTCTGGGAAATCAAGTTAAAGGGGTATGTTCAGCTCTTTAAAAAAAAAAAGTCCACCTATTTAAGGGTAAAATAAACTGAATTTACTCTACACTTTTCCTGAGTCTGCATGCCAAATTACCTGCGCGCGCACACACAAAACTATGCAGGGGAACAAAACAAACAAACAAACAGAAAAACCCTAATACTCAAAAGAAAGCTAATATACTTGTTCCAATCTATTCTGTTGTAGAAATCTTAAGCATTACTTATTACTGTAGGCAAAAACAACTTCAAAAGCCAGTATTATTTTTAAATGCCACATCCCTTTAAAGGGAAAGATAAGAGACAGGGGAAAGGTTGTAAACTTGGGCTCCAGGCCTGCAAACACATATGCCTAGCTATAAACACACATATTCCAGCCAACTGCAGAAACAGGACTATTTCCACGTACAACGTGAAGCATGTGTGAGAGTGTCTGCAGGAACAGGAGAAGGGGTTTTGTTTCAGCTTTGACTAAGTACATATATATAAGCAATATAAACATTGATTACACTATGAATAATGGAGTGTTTTAAGCCACTAGCCCCACATAAACATCTGTGGTCTGCTTTAAACCTCTACATATACTATTTTAAGCAAACATGTTAAACCATTTACTATGCTAAGCTACTTTCGGGCAGATATAAGTATTGATATGAGCCTTGTACAATTTTACAACCCGCACAGTTTTACTAGTGGGTGCAAGGCAAGCGATAATCCTTTCCTAGTCCGAAGCACATTTGTCAGGATTTTAATAAACCAACACCAGTTTCATCTGAGGAATTATGAACTTGTTAGGGGCGGGCAGCCTTTCAAGCAAGCTGATGCAGATCATACAGTCATGAAGTCAAGCAGGAAGGTCCTGTGCAAGGGAGTCCCAGTGCTGGGGGGGGCTGTCACTGCGCTGACAAGTCACTGAGCCTGGGGGTAGGGGTTGCTGGAAGGTGGGGGGAGCAGCAGCACTTTTGGAGCTGGTTTAAGAGAGAGAAAGAGGCCTGGCTTTTGCAATGCGCTGTGACCGTGCACAGCTCAAATGTCATCCCCCCCAAAATCCACCCCCCGCCGCCCGGGAGACAACCGCGTCCTTACCCAGTGCGAGGCTGGCAGTGTGCACCGTCCTAGGCTTGCAGAGAAAGCTGGCGGATCCGCGGAGTATTAAGGCTGCTGCCATGCTCCTTCCCCCCACCCCGCTCCACTCGGGTGACCTCCACTTGCACAACGCCGCTCCTCCTCTGCGCGCGCCCTTCGCGCCGCGCTCGCAGCCAGGCAGGAGAAGGAGCGGGGGAGGGGCAGCCGGCAGAGCCAACCACAGCCTAGCCCTAGCAGCTCCAGGCCAACGAGAGGAGACATCCTCCAGCCCATGACCTGCCGGATCCGCCCCCAGCTCCGTGACACGCGGGGATGTGGCTCAGTCCTGCCGCCGCGAGAGCAGGGGGAGCGCGGGCTGGGGCCGCGGCCTTAGCCTTGGGTGCTCAGCTGAAGCAGGATTTTCCCTACCCCTACAACCCCTCGGCAGCCTGCTCTCTCTGGGCCACCATTTCCCAGGGAAGCCGCCTTGCCAGCTCATCGGGGGCCTTCCTCAGCTCTCCCCTGAGCTCCAGGCTCAAGCCTTCCCCGTAGCATCTGCTCTGCCTTTGGTACGTGGGGCTCCCACCAGAGGGGAACAGTCCCACCTACCCTTTTGCCCCTTAAAAGATGTGTTGTCTGCTCCACCCAGCTGTCTCCACTAGTCACTGTGTGCACCTACTAATGAATGGCAGAAAAAAAAGGGGAAAGCTAGGGCTGCCAACTCTGCTTCAATCTATTCCAGGAGGTTTTTAGAAAGCCAGCGTGCCCGCAACACGATATGGACATGCCTGCGTGCTTGAATATATCCATTACAGACTACGGTGTGTACATTTTACATCAGGAAGGCAAATGCACATGACTATTACATTTTAAAATCCCACTGGACTACCGGATAAATTGGATTAAATATTTAATATTTATCTTAATGAATGCCAGCCCCACTGTTTATCTCCTAGGTGACTCTCAGCAGTCTCCTGGAGATTTATATCTAATTCCTGGAGACTCCAGGGCTATTTTGGAGGGTTGGCAACCCTAGGGAAGGCCTAGGTAGGGGTGAACCCTACCCCTGGGTTTAGCTGACAAAGCAAAGCTGGCACAACTGAGCACCTCCCTTCACAGTGTGTTAGGATTAAATGCAGGCCTTTTCTCTCTTCCTGTTCCTCTTGGCTGTGGCAGCTTTTAGGTCAAACGTTACTGCAATATCATGCCCGAAACCTTCCAAAGAACATTTTTTCCATCTATTTAGTTGGTCTAATAAAAGATATTTCATTTACCCAAAGACCCTTGCCTGCAATATTAGTAGAATTCCTGCTCTCTGTATTTAAAATGCTACCAGGCTTCTAAAAATGCTAAACTACTAACTACTGTTACTCTGGAATTCATTGCCCTACCACCATTTATACCAGATTTTTCAATCTAAGATTTAAGAAAATCTTGGATGTGCACATTTATACCAGACAAAAGTTTTGCAAAATGGTAGCCCACAGATTTTGTCATTTAGCTGCTTTTGCCCTTTATACCGTCATCCTGCATGTGTAACTATTGCAAAATTTTTTTTGCAAAAATCTTATTGGCCTAATAAAAGATATCACCTATACTATAAGTCCATGTAAGATTTCTGTAAGCCGTGCACATCAGTAATGTAAGTCCAGTAATTGCAGTAATATAAACGGTGCAGCAATATAAGCTGTGCCTACCACGCACATCTGTGTATACATAGTCCCCATGGTGACAGGTATGATCTGTCTGCAAATTTAAGTCTACAATAATATTAAATATTTTTAAAAGTGCAAATATTAAAGTACCTGCCAAATAAACACACAAATATTCCCACTAACATCAGTGGGACTATTCATGTGCAAAGAAATTAAGCTTATGTGTAAGGGTTGTAAGACTAGACCTTAGTTCCTTTTCAGTGTTTCTAATAGTCACACTTCAAAATTAATACACCATTTTATATCAGTTCAGTCCTTTTTTGACAAAGATTTTTTTTATTCTAATAGAACAGAAGTTTATTTAACTTTTCACTTTTTATTATTTCTGTTTTTATCAGTTGTTTCTTTTTGTTTTATGACCTTAGGATTCTAGCTGACAGCCATCGCCAATAATGTCATCACAGCTCCAGGAACAGGGTATCATATTCTATAACCAGGAATCCATATTTGGGATTTATGTAACTGTTAATATTTTATACTTTAATAGTGTTTTTTCAAAGGTGAAGTTCAAATCTATTTACAATGGTGGATACATATTATTATTCCAAATTATGTAATAAAAATGCTTTGCTAAACTCTGTTGCTTTGCAACCATATGTAATTTTAAAAGAGTTGGGTTAAAAAAATAGGAAGTATGATAAATTCCTGGGCTATAAAATACTATTATTAGAGTCTGATCCTGGATGCACTTTTGATCTGTTTCACTTTGTTTTTATGAGTTGAAAGCAAAGCAAGTACTTCTGTGATTAACTAAGCATGTGTGCACCTGATTGTAAAATCAGAGTCTAGTTTGGTATGTTCTGGAAAAAAATTAAAGCAAATTTACTCACATCATTTATGATTCCAGGTAGGATCTTAATACTGAGCTGAGTTCAGTGCAGGATTATGAAATTATTATTATATTGTTGATAGATCTCAGATATAGTATAGGCTACTTGACTCATAAAAATGAGATTATAGACATTATTTATGCTACTTAATTTAATCCCACATCATTTTACATTTCATGCAGTCATTAGTATGCAGATATGTATATGGCTCCTCTGAGCTGCTTATAACATTTTATGAATATGATATGCTCTAGTTTTTGAGTGTTTTATGAGTTTTGTAATGTGTTTACACAAAATGAATTATACCAGAGTTATCTGCATGTACAGAAGAAAGATGATAATTACAAATTTTTACAGCATTTTTTTAAGAATCATGCAAATTATCATTCATGTCAAAGTTCTGCCTCCAGTGATACAGGGTTCAGTTGTCTGGCTTGTCACCACCAGAGCTGTAAAGGTTTTCATGAAAGAAAAGCTGAAACAAATAGCTTTCAGGTACAAAACAAGTAGCTCCTGAAAAACGGGAGAAAGTAGGACAGAAACTGCTGGGACTAAATCAGACTAAATCATAGAACCCAATTGGATAAGGTAGGCCTAACAATACCTTTAGGTACCATTTGGATACAGACTTTATATTCACAATTTTTTCTTATTATTATGCTTGATTCCCATTATTGAAATTAAACACAACTTTTGAAAAGGCTGTTTCAATTTTCTGAATTCACCACTGGTCTAAACACCTGCATGGAAGACTTGCAGGTGACCAAGTCCAGTTAGGCCTGCTGAGGAGTTGTAGTTGGTACACAAGGTACTGTTACCCAGGGACTAGGCCCAAGACTGTACACTCCAGGGCAAGTAAAGGCATGAGAAGGCTGCAGAGAGAGACAAGAGATAAGTCAAAGGTGCCAACAGCCCCTGGAATCATGGCAACTTCAGTGTAGTCCTTGACCTCTTATTTCTTCTTGTATTCTACTTACAGTCCACTGCAGATGCAGCAATGTAGTTTTCCCTCTTTCTGGTCAATGTAAATAATATTTTTTAATGTAATTTAATTAAACAGAAATCTACCCTATGGCAGAATTAGTGGGCCCATTTATGAACTGTATAAGATAGCTGAATCATAATCCATCCTTACATTGACTCCTTGTAGAAATCAAATAAGCCCATTCCACTGGTGACATTATGCACTGAAGTGGCTAAAGGTCATTTGGAAATTAAGTTAAGCAAAGACTAAATAATGGATAGGCTGATTTTCCTACAATAAGTCTGCCTTGATTACAGTTCCCCACATCACACTTTAAGAAATCAAATGAATAGATTGCATTACAGCATAGCACATACATGTATTCATACATTGTTGGCTACAAATGTCCAACTCGGGGTCCTTAAAATTCTAGTTTATTAGGCAGATTGAAACACTGTAATCATAAACCTTGGGGCTGGTCTCCACACACACACACATACACACACACAGTAGCAGGCTACAGAGTCAGGTATACCTATCCTACAAGCGCTGGAGTCTGTCATTGAGGCTTCTTTCAGCATGGTGTTATCTTCCAGAAGGGGGTCGCCGGCTGGTCCTTCTGGCTGGACAGGTCTGGTCGAGTTGGAGATCAAGAGGGCGCCACTGAGGGTCACTTTTCACTGCCTTTTATCTGTCCTTGGCAGACTTTGGTGACTCCCCAGTTTTCAGGTTTGCCCAATCCAGGGGTCATTGACCCTCGTGGGACTTCCCCCCCCTCGGTGGCTACTGGACGGCATCTGTCAGCCCCAGGGGTTGTCTGCATGTACGTGCAGGTTTGGAAGTCCGTCGATGAATTTAGAATAGGGCTCTGGGAGCGGTTGATCTGGAGATACTCAGCCCAAAAGTTGGTCTCTGGCGTTGATTAACTCAGGCCAGGGCTTCTAGCCCTTGAACAGTGACCTTTAGAGATGTCCCGGTTGTTACATTGTCTTCTATTGAGTTCTTCCGTTGGCTGATCTGCAGCTTCCAGGTGTTAATTGCTGTGTGCTACCTTGTTACACATTCAATTGCTGATTCACTCGCTCTTTCATGGGGCCAGCCTGATACAGGGAAGGGAAGTTTGATTCCTGCCCTTGTTAACATTGTTACAATGTATAATTTACTTATGAAACTAAACACATTCAGTTGAAAGTTGAAAGGTGAGGAGTATAAAATATAAGCTACAAATGCCATGGCACACAAATAGATAAAAATACCAAACTACAAGGGGAGATACAAAATGCGCGCACACAAATTTTAAAACACAATTCCTTATCTTAAAGTGAAAGAGAGAGGAAGGAAGAAAAGGTAGAAAAAGAGAAACATATTCAAAGAGGGGAGAGCAAATGCAGGCAAGAGGAAAAGGGGACTTTCTGCTACAACATCACACTCCAAAATCAAACTGAACCACATTTTATTTCAAGTGGTGGCATTGTTTTGTTAACATGTTCAACTAGGCACATATTTCATATTGATTAGGTAGTACATTACAACTTTATAATTGTTTAAATAATAGTCATGGGGAGCTCCTTTTTCAGTATAAGGTTTAATTTATGTGAATAAAGAAGAATCCCTTTACTCCTCCTGCACTCAGATAGGAATAGAGAGCCAGTTTGGATTGCTTCTGAGTTTCATTTATAAACTAATCTTTGCATCATCTCTATCAAA